ATCGGGCACAGGCATGGCGGCAACACGACCTTTGGCGGCAGTGGCGGCTTGTGGCGGGGGTTGGCTGGCGGAGCCTTACAGGCCTAGATCTGGGCCTTTTGGGCCCGATCTAGATCAGGGCGGGTTGGTCTGGTCTCCGGCGGGTCGCCTCCGGCTGGGCTGGCGAGATGTGGACGTTGGGATCGCGGCTATTGTGCTGCCTCGGCTGCAGCGCAGCGGCAGGAGCTTACCGGGCCCGATCTGGGTCCGGCGTGCTCCTGCTCCTGCGTCCGGTCTGCTACTGCTTGTGCCAGTGGAGGTTGTCCCCTCCCACATGGCTGCGGTACTACCGGTCCCTACCGTCGGTGGCCTCGTTTGGTTTGGCCGGCCTCGCAACGTCTACAGTGGATAGATGACGGTGGTGTCCTCGTGACTGTGGTGGCGCATGTTGGTGGGCGGTTGGCATGGTGGAGTCGCCGATTGGTCCTGGGTTGTGGGTATGAGGGGTAGGGCGAAATCCCTCTCGGGTCTGCCCGGCACCGACGTGGTGACGCCTGCAGGCGCCATCAACCTTCTTGAAGGGCGTCGGGAGTACCTCTCCTCCGCTTCCCTCCGTTTACCGGGAGAAATCCTAGGATTCGTCCGGGCAGCAGCGTCGTCGTCATCGCAGTCCTTCTTGAAGGTGTTGCCTGGTATGCGGCGACTCGGTGGCATTGAAGCGTGGTGGATGTATCCGGTCGGTGCAGTGGTTGCGGGATATTGCAGCCTTTGTTGATCCGGTGCTGTTGGCATTTCTTCCTCTTGTTTTTCTCTTATTTTTTTTTTGAGCGTGATTGTGCTGTTTGCCCCAGCGATGGACTTCTTGTTGTATCAGGTGGTTGCTATATTAATATAGCGGGGCGAAAGCCTATTTCATCAAAAAGGAAACATTTCGCAAAGAAACATTTCTCTGAACAAACATTTCCATACACTAACATCTGTGTAACCCCTGCAACGGGCTGTTTCTTTGAATACACATTTGTGTAAAATATGTCACGGGCTGGATCAAGAAAAGCTTGTCGTAAACTGACAGTAAAAAATACTTACTGTCAGTTTGATTTGTGTAGGTTGAACCACTTTCTCTGAACAAACATTTCCATGCAGGAATGAAAAAAGCTCCCTTAGACAAACCCATAAGCTCTGGAAATCAAACTAAAAACTGAATATCGATCATGTAGCCCCTGAACCGAACCACAACAACGACGACACTCTCTCTCCCCTGTTGTTTAGTGCAGAAAAGTTGACAAACATGGTGTCTCATTTCACAAAAACATACTCCCTGTGGGAAATCAAATTAGATGCACAGTATGTACTTCATTCCCTCTCCCTTTCATCCCTCTCCTGTCTCCTCCCTTGTTATTATGCTAGGGTTTCTAGGCTGGGTTTATATATCATCAAATTTTATAATATAAATACTAACTCGTGATTGCAACCTTATAGGTAGTTCAAAGTTGGATGATTCAATTGGAGGAATCAGAGGGGAACATGCAGTTGGAACAAGTAAGGGTATGCTATATGATAGGGATTGAATGCATGAACGATGACCCAAAGACGAGACCAATTGCACGACACATTGTTGATAGACTTGATAAAATGACGAGTGCTGACCATTCAGATGAAGCTAGCATCGGTAATTCACTATTTGAAGTGCAGGTAAGTTTACCAAGGGATCAATCTGGAGAAAAAATGGGAAAGCTTGCAGCTGAGAGCCTCCAGGCCGATGTCGAAGAACACTCAGAAACATTGGAAGATGTCGCAAAAACAATTAAATTCCTTCCTTCCCCAAAAGACCAACAGAAATTAGGCCAGTTATCATTATTGGGTGGGCATGATACGATGGAAAACTTAAAGCGCCATGGCACAAGCAACTCTAGCTCTATCTCTACTGAGTTCTATGAGTTGAACATTTTGGGCATTTACCACAGGATTTTCAATAGGAAAAGGTATACATTAGGGCAGTTACATTTTATAAATATCTTCAGAAAGGAGGAGCTCGGGCCAATACTAACGAGTAGCAATCTCATCGGAAAAAGTGGGGCCACTGAAGTTTACAAAGGCGTTGTTGATAATGCACTGGTTGCAGTAAAGAAATTGTTTTATGCTGACAGGCACTTAGAAAATGAAATCATCATCCAGTCTCAGATCATCCACAAGAACATTGCTTGGCTCATAGGTTGTTGCGTAGAAATGGATAGCCCCATTCTAGTATATGAATTCCTGCCCAGAGGAAGCCTTGATGAAATTCTTCACGGTGGCAGCAAGCTGCCTCTCAACTTGGATGTGCGTCTAAATATCATTGCAGAAACAGCACAAGGTCTAGCTTATCTGCATTCACAAGCTCCTACCGAAATCATGCATTGTGATGTCAGACCGAGAAATATACTCTTGGATGACAACTTTATACCAAAGATCTCAGGCTTTGGCATGTCGTTGTTGATTACGGACGATTGGACGTACAGTTTAGTTGGTTTATTTTCTTATATAGATCCAGTATGCATTCAAACAGGAGTACCGAATGCAAAAAGTGATGTCTATAGTTTTGGAGTTGTGATCTTGGAGCTCATTAGCAGGAAGAACCCTACTGATGATGTTCAGTTAGTGCGGAGTTTTATTAAATTTCACAAAAAAGGGAAGAAAGCAACCAAGTTGTTTGACAAGGAAATTGCAGTAACAACAGGAGATTTGGAGCTTCTTGATTGTCTGACTAAGATTGCTGTGGAATGTCTTAACCTTGATGTGGATCAAAGGCCAACGATGACAGATGTTGCAAATCGCCTTCTCATACTGAATCGATCTCGTAGGTTATATGCACGTCATGTAAGTGCTGACTATTCAGAGGAAACTGACATCAACAGTTCATTTGTTGAGCAACAGAAGATAGGCCACTTAGCAACGATGCAAGATATGAACCGTCGTGGCTTAGGCAATTCTAGCTCTATCGTTCATGCTTCCTGTAAATTAAACCTCATGCATGCATTAGAAAAGTCGCATTTCATTAGAATATTCAGAAAGGAGGAGCTCATACCAATGCTTAAGGGTAGCAATGTCATTCTTGAAGAATACAAAAGTTCAGTTCGCAAGGTCATTGTTGATAATGCATTTTACACGGTGAAGAAATGGTAGATAGGAAGGTATGGAATGAAGAATTTGGGAATGAAATCCTCATCCATTCACAAGTCAGCCACAGGAACATCGTTAGGCTCATAGGCTGTTCCCTAGAGATGGATACTCGCATGCTAGTGTACGAGTTGCTCCCCAGAAGAAGCCTTCATGACATTCTTCACAACGGCAGCATGATGTCTCCCAACTTGGATGTGCGTCTAAATATCGTCGCAGAATCAGCACAAGGTTTGGCTTATCTGCACTCACAAGCTCGTACCAAAATCCGACATGGCAATGTTAAACCTGCATGTATCCTCTTGGATGATGACTTTACACCAAAGATCTCAGACTTTGGCCTATCAAGGTTGATCGTGAGAGATAAGGAACACACTTCTGTCGTCATCGGTGACATGGCCTATATGGATCCATTGTATATGCAAACAGGCCTACTGACCTTGAAGAGTGATGTCTACAGTTTTGGAGTTGTGATATTGGAGATCATTAGCGGGAAGAAGCCCCGTCATTCTGATAGGAAAAGCCTAGTGAGGAGTTCCATTGAAGTTCACAAAGAAGGGAAGAAAGCAACCGATCTGTTGGACAAGGAAATTGCGGTAACAACAGGAGATCTGGAGCTTCTTGACTCTCTTGCAGGGATTGCTGTGGAATGTACTAACCTTGATGTGGATCAAAGGCCAACGATGATAGATGTTGCAGAGCGCCTTCTCACACTGAATCGATCTCGTAGGTCAAAAGTTATTTGCCAATAATTTCATTTATATGTTCTATAGAAAAGAAACAAGTTGATGCAAATTCTAGTCTGCACAAGATGCATTCCGTCAAATAAGATGGGCAACTGGTCGTGTTGATTTATTTTTGCTGTTGTGAACATAATCCCTGAAACATGCATGTCAGTCGAAGTTATATACAGAACCATCATGTATTGATGTATAAAATGCATATATATCGATGTCTGTCTTTGTTCAGAGAAAGATTGACGTACTATACTGAGTTGAGGTTCATATGGACTTAATCGATTTCAGAGACAGGAGTGGCGCATTCCAATACAGGGCACGTTCTGTGATCTCTTATTTTATTTATTTTTCTGTCACGCCTGCGTCCAGTTCACCGAACCTGCAGCAGACTGAGATGCAAGAGCTTTTTTTTTTAACATCTCTGAGATGCAAGAGCTTTTATTTTAACATCTCTGAGATGCAAGAGCTGCGTGCCTCTTGCAGTTACTCGTCTGAGCCTTGGGCCGTAATCCGTGTGGGACCGCTTGTGGCCCGTTGAGAGCAGGGTAGTAGTATGGACCTTCCTATGGATTTGTTGGCGTAGGAAAACCACTCACTCAAACATGTTGGAAATATTCCTTTGTAAACAGGGGACTGCTACACGTCCGTCGGCTGGTCTTTTTAAAAGATCGGTCGGCTCGCGAGCCATCATATCTGGCGCATTTGCGCCCTTCATCATTACAATATAGGTCTTGTTGTAAAAAAAATCTGCAACAGAGGCGCGTAATTTTTTTGCAACTGAGGTTTTCTTATAGTTTTTTTTTTGCCACAGAGGCTTTGTTGTAGAATTTCTTTTTTCATTTTCATCTTTTTGCAATTGAGGTTTTGTTGTAGATTTTATTTAACAAGGCTTTGTTGTAGAATTTATTTTTTCGTCTTCATCTTTTTGCAACATAGCTAATGTTATAAAAAAAACTTGTGCAACATTGGTGATGTTGCGGACACAAAAAGATCGTCAGGAGCCAACGGCATGTCATGTGGGACACGTGTTGTGCGAGTCGGGGCGCCGGATCGGATCCAAGAAATCAGCCGGTTGAGGGGAATCATTTCCCATCTATATATGTGGTATAACCACCCATAAAAAAAATCTATATATGGTCAAACCAAACCAATTTTTTTTGAGCATTTTGCCATGTTTTTTTTGAGCATCAAACCAAACCAATTTTGGTGCAAACGCCATCTAGAATGCAATGCTGCATTATACTTTTTCTTTGTTTTAAAAATTATTGATATTAAATAGCTCCTAAAATGAAAAAAATATGGCAAACTAGAAAGTTGCAGTACCATTTTGAATCTTTGTACAAGCGAACACACAAGAAATTTCACCGGAAGTTTTTGTTGTTGAGATTTCAATAAAAGGGAAAAAAAGTGTCCTGTGATAATATAAGCTGATTCATAAATAGTTGATCTGGACTCACTTTTTTTTTCTAATTTACTCCACGCATACATGACCCACCACGGTAGATGTGTCATTATCACACACAAAGCACGCTCCGTAGCGCTCGGGAAAAAACACATATTTGACCTATGGGCAAAATCAATTCACAATCTAAATTGTCGTTGAAAAAAATTCACAAATTGATCGTTTTATGTGGCGCCGGACAGTTAGGCATCACACTGCACTGTGCAGTGTCTTACTGACAGGCGCTACACATCTAGCCAGCGTGGCACCCCCTGGCCCCATCCCTGGTTGTGGAGCGTCTATGTGAAAGACGTTATGCTATCATGTGCAGCGCCTAGATAAAAAACACTGCACATGAGAATAATAGAAGGTTTCTGCTGCCTTTAGTCAGTGTGTACTGCCTGAGACATAGGCGCTACACTGATGGTCGTTGCCGAAATGTTCCGCTAGCTAGCTCTAAGGCCAACTTCACCGCGCGACCCCAAATCGTCCGGGGTTGTCCGTTTGGGGTAAAAAAGGACCCAGCGGGAATACTCAAACGGACAAACTGTCCGCTGGTGTCCGTTTCTGTCCGGCCCAACCTCAAATCCAGACCAAAGTTGGGTCACAAATGCGTCTGAACGGACACCGACGGACGCTCACCTCGGCCTCTCTCGTCCGCTCGTGTCCGTCCGTGGCCCACCTATCAGCGACCCATGCATCTAGCTCCTGGCGACCTCGTCGCTCCCACGCCCGCCGCAGTGTTCCGCCCGCCGTTCCCCCGCCGCGTTCGCCACGGCGCCATGCATCAGCTAGCTAGTGCTTGCATGCGCAGCAGCAGCAGCCGGGTGCTAGCTAGCTAGCTAATGCTTGCATGCGCAGCAGCAGCATCCGGGTGCTAGCTAGCAAGCAAGCTACTCTATGCAGTCTGTGCAGCAGCTCGACGGCGAGCTCACGACCCGGCGCTTGGACGCCGGGCAGCAGCAACTCCACGCCGGACCACGGCTCCTCCGGGTACTGCCGAACCAGGTCAGTGGCCTCCCGCACGAGCAGCCTGGCGTAGGGCGCGGCCAGGAAGGCTAGCGCGCCAAGCACGACACGAGCGCGGGCGCATCAAGCACGGCCAGAGGCGGCGCGCGCTGGGGGAGCTCGGGCGGCGCACCCTGGCGGCGTTGCGGTAGGTGGGTAGCTTGGGGCGGGGCTACGGGGTGGGGCGGGCGCGCTCCGGCGAGCGCGGGGCGGCCCGGGAGCTCGGGGCGTGCG